CTGAAGGTTAGGGCAATTATCCGCGATATGGCTGATAAGTCGATGCTCTGTATCTTTCGAATGAGATCAAGGTAAAATAAAAATCAATCGGTTAGAAACTCACGATCTAAGCTATGACATTCCACAGACAAACGTTGAAGTGTAGCGGTAGAGCTGGTGAGGGATTCTTGAATACCTTGGAGCCTGACTCCTTGTACAGTCATTGAGTGAACTGAGCCAAGTTCCATCAGTTTCCGTACAGCTATGGTCAAACCCACACATCCCATGATATGATCCGTTTGCATACGGACGTCGGAAGACCTGATCATAATGGCGCCATCGCTCGGTCGTTGGAAGGAGATCAAGTCAAACATCTCGGTTTTCCACTCGTCAACTATCCCCCACTGTTCCAAATTGAATTGGGATAAATGAAGCGAAGAAGGTCCTCCGCACTGAACTAGGATTTCGATCAGGCGGTGTTGGGAGATGAAGGGACGTTGGAACCGACACCCGCGAAACGTCAAGATACCAATGGTCGAATTGCTTTTAATGATATCTGCGATCGGAGAGAGATAAGAATCCGTTGCCTCGTCAAAGTAGAGACGAGCGATAATCAATTCGGATAGTCGAGGAAAGACGAGACGATGAAAGTGGGGTAAGCTGTGCTCAAAGATGGCGTTGGAATAAGCCCAGTCGAGTGTTAACTGAGTCACATCGTGAAATATACTGGATACTCCTAAAACAGTGTTGAACACATCATCGATTTCGGCTCTATCCGCGGTCTCGACGTTGTCGAATGAACCGAGAGCCAATCCAGCTTTGGTGGGGATGGAAATGGAAGAGAATAAACGGCTGACGCTAGCTGCTCTCCAATTTTGACATACAAGCGAGCATGACGTGATATCTAGATGCGATTCGAGCAGATTTACGAATGTTTCAATGAGTTCTTGAGGAAGAGCCGCACAAGTCTCCGCTGCCACACCTAGAGCAACCCGAGTAAGCATCCAAAACCTTCAAAGAATGAAGGACTCACAGCGTTCCTGAGCTTCAAAAGCCTCCATTCACAATGAGAGGTGATGATGGTTAAGTGACAGACAGGGATTGCTCAATTAACGCATTTGCGGATTTGAAAGTTGATTGTCGTTATGTACGGGGTGATATCATATCATAACCGTCGGGTGACGTGGATGGAGTGATATGTCGGGGCTTGAGGGCTCGCTATAACACTGCCAGTTCCCAAAGTTGTTTAGATTCAGTTAGTCTTCATCATTTCGTTAGCAATCCGATCGTTGAATTAATGATACCTGAAGAGTTTGTGAGAGAACATGCACATCTGGACGAACACTCCAATCGATACTCAGTCATAACTTCAGCACTTCAACTTATGCGTTGTTTCGCGTTATCACGATGATCGTCGCGTTCTATGCAGGTATTGGCTCATGGAAACCTCCTGGATTGTAATGAGCTTGCAACAGGGCGGTACAACAGACGAGGTCGAGAGCATAACTATGTGTATGGTCGCTCCCTGTGGTTTTTAGGACCTTGAGTACTCTAATGAAGGGTCAAAGATGAACTCACCAAATATTTGATCGTTTTAAGCCAGGAATTGTTCAGAAATACTGTAGTTCGAGACAGATTTACGACATTTCAGTGAAACGGACTCGAGGCGACGTAAAGGTGTGCCTGTGCAACGAACGTTTGCTGAACGCGGGTAGCAAGCAGGGAGAACGGCGTCGAACTTCGGTATCGTATCTCTCTGTCTTCCATTTGAAACCACATAAGAGTAAGAGCTAGACCGCCTTCGGTCTGAGATGTAATGAAATGCAGGGATTGTTTTCGTAGTGTTTTCGCGTTTTTAAGAGAATTTCATGAGTACGTTGAGCAGTCGAGTTTCGAGATTCGGGCGCTTCAGTGTCCAACGAACGTGTATAGCTCGGATATTTATAGTGGTTCAAAGTCCTACCTGTTCCGTATGCTGAAGGTGAGGCGTTCTGTCAGGTTAACAGCAGGTTACATCGTTGAGAGTTGCAAAAGTAAAGCTGCAGAGCGCTGGTCCAACGCTGGTCGGCATTTCGGCATTTGCTCCGCTCTCTCTCAACAACTTTTACTCTGTATTTTTCTCCAACTCTAATCGATGTTGGTGTCCAAAGAAAGTAGTTTCTACCTCGCGATAGACTACGATACGAGCTCTCCCGATCTTTTCGTCACTTTCGATCGAGGTCTTCAACGTTTCAATGATGAGTAGTAGCTGCTTTTCGTTGAACTTCTCTCGGGAGCTTTGGTCAAGTCTTGGCTGGGCTACTTCGAAAGGTGAACTTCTCGTGTCTCTCCAGCACCTCGCAATTCTTCATATAAGAAACCCTCGAGCATTTCTTATATCCCATTGTTTTCTCCTTCTCCCTTGCGATGAATTCCGCAGTCGCTATTCCTGGTCATGGATTAGCATCAGGACCCAAGGTGGCAGCAAGCTTCAACTACGCCTACTGAAACAACACCTCTCCTCCAACACACCATCCCAGGGCTGTCCCCTGGATCGTCAGAGGTAGACTGCTCAAGTCCGGGTCTCGAGGCACAAAAAGACCTCAATCCCGATCCAAGTACTTGGCTTCGGAAAGCTACCCCGCTTCCGAGAGCGCAACTCATCACCTTGTGTCTCGTGCGCATTGTCGTGCCAATCGCCTTTGGGCAGGTATTTCCATCTCTAGCAGATCCTTATGCTCTGTCTAATAGCTCTTCGGGTAGATTTTTCCTTACATTAACGAGTATATTGCGTTTCTGGACGTCGACGAAAGATCCGTCGCAGATTGGGTTCTTCAGCGGGCTTGTGGTATGGATTTTTTAAATTCAGGTTTCGTTCGGTCTCTGATATGATGTACATCTCTTCCTAGGAATCCAGCTTTGCAGTTTCACAGTTACTTTTTATTTATCATTGGGCATGGTTATCCGGTAATTTTGAAAAAAATATCTCAATGCGTTATGGAATCTTGACTTCCTACTTGCAGATAGATTCGGTCGTCGTCCCATCATAATAATTGGTACATTGGGCGTTGCAATAATGACAATAGTATTTGGTCTTTCGAAGAGCATTCCGGAGCTCTTGCTTTTTCGCTGTATTGGTACGTCTTCCCGGTATTTTCTTTCGGTCTGGCGCTCACGCGAGCATAGCTGGTTTCTTTGCAGCCACTGCTTCGGTTGTACATACCGTATTAGGTGAAATAACTGGTCAGTCGCGTGAATCCACAACTTTCTACTAGTCCTCCTGATCTTCGCTTCAGACACAACAAATCAAGCTGCTGCGTTCCCACTATACGGGTAAGTTGCAATTTGCGGTGCCCAACAATATCCCTCATGAAGCTTTGAATAGAATCACTGGCCCCGTTGGGAGTATTATCGGGTACGCCTTTCTTCTTTGTTCTTGTCGACAAGACCGTTTTACTGACTCGTAAGATTCCCGTTTTTAGACCTCTCATAGGCGGTTCGTTGTCAAATCCGGCCGCAAAATATGCGTTGTTTGATATAAAATTGTTCCATGTACATCCTTACTTCCTCCCGGGTCTCGTATCTGGCGTCGTGTCCCTTATGGGAGTCGCACTGGCGTACTTTTGCTTAGATGAGGTAAGCGTTCTCCACCTCCCCGAAGTTATCATTGAATTCTGATTATAACAGAGCTTATCTACCAAACGGCGCTCAAATACAGGCTCATGTACTAGTAGTACTGAAACCATTGAAAATGAAATCGATCTAAAGCTGCCTTCTCCCACTGCGCGAGAGCTGCTTTCAATTCCCATCATCCGTGCTCTTTGTCTCAGTGGATTCGCACTGGAGATGAACGGAACATCCTTTGTCGTACTCTTTGTCCTATTCTGTTACTCTCCCATCCAGCAAGGAGGGCTTGCTTTCCCCGTAAGTTACATTACAAAGTGGCTGTTCACACGAGTCCTTAATAACATTGACAGGCTGAAATTACTGGCTATGCCCTTGCCTTCACCGGGTTCATTGCTGGTATAACACAGCTGTTCCTGATGCCTCTCCTCCTCAGGCGCTTCGAGGCAGCAAAGATATACACCGTCTGCATCGCCGCATGGCCCATCGTATTCCTCATTCTCCCATGCTTCAATCTCATCGCCCGATATGGCCTCATGGTGAATGAGGCTACAGGAGAGCTCGGCGTACATGCAAAAGCAATTTTATGGACAGGAATATTCTTGGATCTGGCACTCAGTCGGATAGGTGGGATTGCGTATCCGTGAGTTGTGCTATTCACTACAAGTGCCGTAGGATTATACTGAAATGCAACTAGCGCAAGTATGATTTTGATTAAGAATAATGTTCCTAGTCCATCGTATCTAGGATCCACCAATGGACTGGTCCAATGGTTTATGTGCCTTTCTCGCTGTGTCAGCGCGGCTTTTGCTAGGTTTGTCTTTGTACCCCTGCATTTTAGCGAGTAAAGCTGATTATCGCGTCCACTTTCCAAGCTCTGCGTTTGCCTTATCTGCCAAGTACAACATTTTAGGAGGTCATTTCTGGGCGATCCTGCATGCTTGTATAGCGATAGTGGGGTGGTGGTTGGCTCGTAGTATTACTGTCAATAGTAAAACTACACTGAGCTAAGGAGGCTCTTTAACGTAGAATATTAGATTGGAATGGTAGGCGTAGATTGGTTCCTTCCTTCCAACATAGATGTACTTATATAGCACTGTGTCGCTGTGGAAAGATTGAAGTCCAGTTTAAGTAAGAGATAGCGAGTCCTGCGCCCCTCCTTCCCTCCCCCCAAACGATTTAAAGTTTGGCGTACCTTCATTTATTCACGGTAAAAATTACAAAAACATTTAGTACATGCTTACATACCTTCACCAATTTTGATGGCCCAAGTAAGGAGCGTCCGCTCGGGAGTGGGACCACTAGACGATCAAAGCAAGTGGAGATTCCGGAATCCTCTGAATGAAAAAATACCTAACAAGGAATGTGTACGAGATGAACATAAAAATACTTGAAAAACAAAGACTCTGCAATATTAATTCCGACACGGGGAATCGAACCCCGGGCTATCGCGCAGTACAGTGTTTCTTGACATATGAGAGGCGATAATGTTAGCCACTACACCATATCGGAATAGTTGTGTTTAGATTATTTGAGATATTGGTGCTATTTATCTTGTCATCGTCACCGGGATTAGGGTTAGGGCCTGAATGAGATGCCATTTCGCCGATTTGTTCTTCACCTTTTGACCATCGCCTCGAAGCATTAACTTGCTTCTCCCTCCTCCGTCCCGCCCTCTTCTCCTGCAATATCTTCCAAATGGCATCCCAAATTTCCCAGCAATATGCTTGTAGGCGATTCTCGCATTTTATTCGGGAAAAAATAAGTTGAAACAGCCCCCTAGTTCGTGCACAAAAATCTCTAGGCCTTGTTGGAGGAACTCCCGACTATACACCAATTCCAGACTTTGTTTCTCCCGATGTACCTGCGCGGATCTATGCCTACAGTGCTGATGGCAGATTATACGCTTATGCTTTGCCAGCGGTGTACGTTTTGAGAATAATAATTATGTTTTTAGTTTACTTATTTTTTTCAGTGTCCGGATATTCCAGGCAGAGGGCGCCCAACTCCTCTCAGAACTACCTCTCCCAAACATCATCGAACTAAACTTTTCGCCTCGAGGAACCTATCTTTCCACCTGGGAACGTCCTCTCAAGCTCGAAGATGGCGCTCAGCACAAGAACCTTCGAGTTTTCTCTGTTTCTACAGGCGAAGAACTCGTCGCCTTCTCACAAAAGTCTCTGGAGGGTTGGGACCTCCAGTATACGATTACAGAGTCACATGCGATCAGGCTCGTCAGCCAGGAGATACAGGTGTTCCGACCGACGGAATGGAGTAAAGGCATTGTCGATAAACTTAAAGTTGAAGGCGCTACTTCAGCATACTTGAGCCCTGGGCTCAATCCCTCGGTCGCAGTTTTTGTCGCCGAGAAAAAAGTGCGTTATTTTGAACTTTTATTTTTAGTCGGCTATAGCAACGTGTTTCATAGGGTGCTCCTGCCAGCATCAGAATGTACGGTCTTCTCTCGCTGGCTGCACCGCCAACCTGCCAAAAGACCTTTTTCAAGGCCGATCGTTCCCAGATCAAGTGGAATCAGCTTGGGACTCAAGTCTTGGTCTTAACCCAGACCGACGTCGACAACTCCAACAAGAGCTACTACGGAGAGACCAGTCTATACCTGCTCAGTGCAGTAGGCAACTTTGACTGTCGTGTAACATTGGACAAGGAGGGTCCCATCCACGATTTTGCCTGGAGCCCAAACTCGAAAGAGTTTGGTGTCGTTTACGGATACATGCCCGCCAAAGCAGTCATCTTTGACCAGCGTGTCCGTACCATTCACGACTTTGGCTCTGCGCCGCAAAATTACATTTCCTTCAACCCACAAGCCCGACTTCTTGCTCTCGCCGGCTTCGGTAATCTCGCAGGAAAAATCGACATCATTGATCGGCGCTCTCTCACCAAGCTGTGCACCATCGACGCACCAAATACATCCTATTGCGACTGGAGTCCCGATGGCCGATTCCTGCTCACCGCCACGCTCTCCCCTCGTTTACGTGTCGATAACGGGATCAAAATCTGGCATTGTACTGGACCTCTCATGCACGTCCAGCTCGTAGATGAAATGTACCAGACCTCATGGCGCCCTACACCCGTCGACAACGTCCCGCCGTTCCCGAACCAAGGACCTGTAGCCGTCGCTCCCGCACCTAGTCCCTCCGTAGCAGCGTTCCTACTATCCGGCGGTCTCAAGGGAACGACAAACGGCGCTCAGGCAAAGCCAGCTGGTGCTTACAGACCTCCCGGTGCTCGCGGAAACGCAACCCCGCAGATCTTCAAGCGTGAAGACGAAGGTGGATTCTCGAGGACGCCGAGTGGCCAGAATACGCCTTCGAGAGGGTATAGTCGGAGTCCTGTGCCTGGAGCTCCTGGGCATGGGAACGGAAATGGGAACGGACCACAGCAGGGTGGGCAGGGACGAGGAGGGAGACATGTACCCGGCGCTGCGAATCAGAATCCTACGAGGCCTGGTGCTGGCCCACGAGGAGAATCTGGAGGTGATAGAGGTGGGCAGCAGGGCCAAGGACAAGGACATGGACAAGGACAAGGACAGGGGCAGGGGCAGGGACAGCAGAGGAAGAGGAACAAGGGCGGGAAGAAGGGCGGAGAAGGAGGCCAGCAGCCACAGCAGCAACCGCAGCCGGATGGGAATGCAAACGGAAACGCGAACGGGAATGGAAACGGAAATGGGAAGAAGCCAATGTCGATTGATTTGAATGGGGTTAATGGAAAGGCTTTTAATGGCGACACTCCGCCTGTTTCGAGTTTACCTCCGCCTATAGATACGGCGCTGCTAAGTCCCGTCACGCCGGGCATGGATAGCTCGCTGGACCCGATTGCGAAGAAGGTTAGGAACCTGAATAAGAAGGTATGGCAAGCATCCCAGCAGACTGGCGTTTCACTGACTAACGTCCGTTCCATTCCGTAGCTCAAAGCCATTGAGGAGCTCAAGGATAAGGCAAAGCGCGGAGAACGACTAGAGGCGACGCAGATGAAGAAAATGGAAGGAGAAGCCGAGATAAAGAAGGAATTGACTGCTTTGGGTGCTAGTGCGCCATAATCATGATCAATCCTCAGTTTCCGTCTATCTGATCTATCCACTTTGTGCATATTTCTTTTTTCTCTGCTCTGTCTGTTTCTGTCGTCGCCGTGCTGGTTTTATACGTACTACATACTTGGCTTTCTGAATATCTGGTTTTCATCACTAATCGTATTGCTGTCGCCTTCCTCGCATGGACGTATGCTTGCTTAGGACGGTTCAGACAGTCGTATTCTTCGCGTCGCGTCTGGTATTCGTACAGTAGGTATTTACTATCATCCAAAGTATTCATCTGCATCTATTAAGAAAGAAGACGTCAGATATTTGTGGGCACCCCTGCTCGAGAAGCTGGTACTTTACATCTCATCTTATGACTTGAAAGTTACAAATACTGCCATTCATAGGCACCAAATAGAATCCTGAGGACTGATGCTATTATAGGTGGTTGTAAGGTGCTGGACGCAACGGTCTCCTCTCGAAATGTCCCCTGTTCTATTTCTATTTGGAGCTCTGGCCTGACCGAGAGCATTGAGAGAACAGTATGCATGCCTTGGAGGGACGCTCGTCCATTGTTCGCTTTTATTTGTGCGTTATTTTATTTTATACATAGGTTAAACACTAGGAACCAACATCAAACTTTGAAACACATCCTAACTCTCGTTTCGGCTTTTACACTCTTCTGGTTTGGCACTTTCCCACTTGACATAGGATTTATCTGTGCTAGAACAAGTAGCAACTCAAGGGGCAAAGATGTTCCACAATTCCTCGGGGGTACCTGTGCATTCAAGAGACCTGATAGAAGGGTCGCCATCACTGTCGCCCGGGACAATCACACACTCCTGGCTTGAGGCTGCGACCAGTGTGCAGCTAGTAGCCTCGCTGTCTGTGCACGAAGCACATGAGATGGAAAAGTCCGCGTTGGTACCGGCAGCATTGGCGCAGGATCCGGTGGTCAAGGTAGCGTCTTCACCGGCAGGAGCTGTTACGCAGGTTACAGCGGGACTATCGATACTGCAAAAAGGCAATGGCAAGATAAGAATCAGCGGTAAGAGTTGCAGAAAGGGCCGACGACGCACGAGATAGTCCAACCCCCATCTGAGGTCGAAGTGAGGAACCAGGTCGAAAATTGAGGAGGCACTACTTCCTGCTCATCCATACATATGAGTAGGCAAGTGGGTTTGTACAAGAATTAGTGCGTACCAAATGTACGGCGGAGGGAACACCCGCGCTGGCGCCGTTAAAAAGCCAAATGTATGAATCTGACAAAGATATGGAGCTATTCGCATCGATATAGTAAAACCTACCATTAATGTTGGACGCGATAGCGTAGGGAGTCCCTTCGGTAAACTGGGGCGAGCAAGTCTGAGCCAACGTAGAGGAGGCGGCCATTAGACCAACAGTGACTGCGGCGGTCAGCTTGGAGAGGGTGAACATTGCGGTAACAGGGAGAATCTGTTGCAAATTCCTCCGAACTGTGGCTTTATATCTATCCGCCCAGGGCCGCATTGACAGCTGGAAATACAGACCGTAGTGCGTCGACGGCTATAAAAGGCCTTTCGACTTTTGGTTTAGACCCAGAGCTGCAGCACGGCCCACTGACTTAGTGACTATGCATCAAGTTGAATAAAAATGGTCGGAACACGAGTAAAATCGCATCCGTTGACTATACGGTCGCTAGTATGGAAATAAATCCAGCGTGGAGTAACAGGAAGTACAGACTAGTGCGCTCGACGGTTTAGAACCAGAGCTGCGCACGGCCCACTGTGCTCGGAAGACGAGTAAAATTCAAGGAAATCGCATCCGTTGGCTATACGGTCGCTAGTATGGAGATAAATCCACCTTCCAGCATGGAGCAACGGGAAGTAACGGGAGGTACAGACTAGTGCGTCGACGGTTTAGACCTAGAGCTGCGCACGGCCCACTATGCATCAAGTTATCGGAAGACGATTAAAATTCAAGGAAATCGCATCCGTTGGCTATATATACCGACCATGTGAGCGAGCGCCGAGTTCCGATGCTCGCAGTCTTGGCGGTTAGCTGAGAAGTTTCCTTCAGACAAATGTAGTGGCGTAGCCACTATGTACAGAGGGGCAAGGAAAAGCGTTGTTCTAAGTTCAACTGTTCCATCCAAGAGCTGAGCAAAATGAGGACCCCGGAATCTCCTATGGAACCTCCCTCGAAATAGCGTCATTTAGGGCCAAATTTGAGCGAAATCCTTGTCCAAATATAGCGTCATTTGAACCGAAAAAGTTTGGTCCTTGTCCGCCCATAGCGTCATTTGAGCCGGCGCATCAGCGCCGAACCGAAAAATTTGACCTTTGAGAATGGCGCCAAGATGAAGCGTTGGCATCCAGCTTCTAATACTTCTAATACGTATAAGTAAAGGAAATATGTAGATGTACGTATAACTGGTCGGGTGAGTTTTTGGAATTTTTCAAAAAAATTTGGCGATTTTTTTCGATTCACGTGATGATCC